GAGAGAGAGAGAGAGAGAGAGAGAGAGAGAGAGAGAGAGAGAGAGAGAGAGAGAGAGAGAGAGAGAGAGAGAGAGAGAGCTGTGTAGTTGTAGGCATCAGTTTCAAGTGGGCTAGAGAAGAAAATAGAAGTGTCGCTGATCAGTTAGGAGTAGTCGGAATGTTGGAGAAAAGGGTTGTTGCAGCTTGTTGGTGATTATTCTTCATTGCTTTCGTATTGTTAACAGACGGATAGTTTTTGGTATTTTGGGCAACTAAGCCCAGGTTGTTATGCCATGCAAGTAGCTGTCTGGCTTTAAGGATTCAATGAATGAGGATGGAAGCACTATGCTGATGCTGCAGACATAGTTAGGATGAAGCTATGGAGGGTGGATGAAGGGCCATGGGGCATGGGTGAAGGAAGTGTTAAAGGAAGTTAGAAGGATTGTCAGAGTAAGTGGTGGTGCTCTAGTCTAGTGTTCACTGCAATTGTGTTTTTCTCAAGGCGACTCAGGAATGATTCTTTCAACTCCTGAAGGGGATAGAGGGGGGCAGATGTGCACGGGAGGACGAGGGTGCTGGCTAAAAGCAAGAGCCAGGCCCCTCTTCTGCTTTTTCTGTGCTTAAATACCTGTGATACCCATCAAGGCTGAGGTTTAATCGACCTTCTGGGTGTCATGGTGCTCTGCATGAGCCCTCACAGGCAGATCACAAATCTGATGACCTTTCACGCTTGGCTCCTTTTGGTCATGGCATGGCCTCATGAAGTTGAGGAAGTGTTTTCCTGGAGGGAGCATGGACTCGGTCGAACTAGGGCTGCGATCGGGATTAAGGATCATCACAAGGGGTTACCGGGGTGTTTTTCAAGGAAAGACTGAGGGGGGAAATGAGTTGTGTTCAACGATCAAGTTGGTAGATGGAGAGATGTGCCATTTGTGACGGACGGTGTCACCAGAAGAGGCTCAAGGCCCTGTGATCTCTTGCTTGAATGAGAGGGAATGGGGCGGGGAGGTGGGCGAGGGAACGAGAAGGAACTGTTGAGGAAAGAAACCAGTTGAAAGCCCATAGAGAAAGTTCTGGGAAGGCCGTGAGACTGACTGAAGGACATGGTGTCCGTAGGGATGGGGCTCACAGCTAATCAACAGAACTGTGTGCTGTGTTGGTGGTGTTTGGTTGTGGTTGGCAGAGGGTGTCTTATGGCTCCAGTTATTGATGGAGTAGAGGGATCTCTTTGCAACTCAATCTTCTCGTGTTCTTTGCTGAAGGGGTTTTGGAGGCTGGGGGTTTTGCTGTTATTGAGCAAAGGAAGGGGTCAAGCGCTGTGGAGGACAAAATGACACAAGTTAGAGGAGGTGGCCTGAGTGCTGTTCAACCATCACAATGGTAGAAAAGTACAGGTTGGGGGAGAAAATGCTCCACAATGCATTCATTTCATTTTAATAGTAGTGTTGACTTGCGTGAATGCTGAATGTTAGTGATCTGAATTCCCAAATCAACTGGTCAGTACGCATCCATGCTGCTCCCCACCAGTAGACTGGAGCCAGCCGTAGCAGACATTTATAGATGGGGCTGCTCATATCACCCCCTCTAGCATCATGTACGGGGTTGTTAGAGGGGGCTCCAAAAAAAAAAAAAGTATGAATCAGTTTCCCTCCAATGTTCATTTTCAAATCTTGTTCGTCTGTAAAGGACGGTACTGACCCAACACAGGATTGCTTGAGCGGGCATTCTACAAAAAAATCCTTTTTATGTGTTATCAACGTTCAGATTAGAAACTCCAGGATGATTCGTGCTAGGGCAACACTGTAGAAGTGAAATGTTGTGTTCCCAGGGAAACCTACTGAACTAGAGGACAGAAAATAGTAACCCCATCTCCATGTACAGGAAGCAGTTCATGTGTGCATGAACCTCTAGGGATGTGTGTGTGTGTGTGTGTGTGTGTGTGTGTGTGTGTGTGTGTGTGTGTGTGTGCACGAGCGCACAAGGCAGGGAGAAGACAATCAGCACAAAGAAACGAAGGATAAGGCACCTAGCCAAACAGTCACTAGCCAAAACAGAGTAAACCAGAAAAATACAAGTGCAAGGAAAATGAGCGATAGCAAAATGACAGAATTTCAGATTGCAAAATCACATTGAAAGCTAGATAGTTGAACGCTGTCCAGAAAGCGCAATGCACTGATATTCCACAAAACAAAGCACCGAATTCAGATGTCAATGAAAGCATACTCTTGCAGCGGCCTTCCTCCTATTTGGCGTTCAGTGCCCAGACTACGATCACGCAGCTACTTAACCAGCCTACGAATTGACAATGCAACCTGTTGACGTCAGCAGCAGCAACTGAAGTACATGCAGATGTCGGCCATGTAGACCGTCCCAAAGACCAGGAACGTGTCCTCACATCTCAACCTTATCTCTCTCTCTCTCTCTCTCTCTCTCTCTCTCTCTCTCTCTCTCTCTCTCTCTCTCTCTCTCTCTCTCTCTCTCTCTCTCTCTCTCTC